CCCCCGCCCCGCCGCCGCCCTTGCCCCTCTCCAATGCATGCTCTTTGCCACGCCTGGGAATGAAACAAAACCAAAACCAAATGCAGGGGAAAAGGAGAAAACCAAACCGACCGGAACGGAGGGGGAAAAAAAAAAAGAAAAGTCTTTGTGCAAAAAAAAAATTAAAATCTGTCGACTTTCATTTATTACTATCACTTTTTTTTTCTGCACAGAGAAGCATTTGATGGGCGGCGGAGCGGCCCAGCCGGGCTCGCGTGCTGGGGGGCAAGTGAGAGCCCCCCCGGCCGCAGCCCCATTCCCTGCCCTGCGTGGGACCCCTGGGAAGGCTCGTCCTGATGGTTTTCCGCTCCTCGAGGCCAGAGAGTCCCAGCAAGGGGGTACCAGGGGCCCCCTTTGCTCTGTTGCTCAGGCTTGTGCTGCTGTGGCTTTGAATTTCCCTCCCTGAGGGTCTCATCCAGCTCGGAAAAGGGGCAAGGTGTGATGGCATGGTGCAGGGGGCCGAGGAGTTGGGGTGCACCAGGCAGACTGGAGCGGCTCTGCCTGCCAGGGGGGGCCAAAACCGAAGCCAACTGGTTTGTACTGGGGCAGGGGGGAGCAGGGCGGGGGGGGCTCAGTGCTGCCGAATGTATCCTGTCTCCCATCGACATATATTTATTTATATATGGAGAACTCTAGGTGTGCCTGTGTGTGTATATACGGTATGTGTGTGTATATATATTTATATGCTGTATATATAAAGATATACACATACATGGATTTGTTTTAGTCATCTGACAATGCTGGGGAGCCCCTTGGCGTTTTTACTGCCTGCACCCCGTTTGGCAGAGGCAGGACCAAGCCTCCCCAGGGGGCTGCTGCGCACCCGTCGCTGTAGCAGAGCATTGGGAACGTTACCCCACTCCCCTCGCCCCGTCCCAGATGTTTCCAGCAATGGGAATGGCATTTTCTCCATTAGAGGTGGCCGTGGTGAGGGGTCCTCGGGCGGCTCTGCTGCTGGCTGTGCTGTGCGGTGTCTGCGGGAGCGGGATTCCCAAGGGACGAGGACAGGGCTGTCCCCGGGGTTACGGCTTGCTTGGCGCCAGTGGTGCCGAGGGGGCGATGGCAAATCTCTCAGAAGCCTCTTTGCTGTGTTTTCCCAGGAAAAGAAGATTCCCGCATCTGCAGGGGAGAGATGTTGTGCAAGCGTGATGGTACCCTAAGATCTGTCCACCTGGCAGAGGAGCCCGGCTTCGGCACCTCCCCTGCCTTGGTTCCCCCTGAAGCTGTGGCCCCTGCCTGCTCCCAGGGCCTGGCACCCCCTTCGGAGGGGGGCTGCCATGGGGGCAGCTGGGTTTCCAAACGCCACGGTCCTGGTGCATGGGCAGGTGGGTGTCCGAGAGCTGGCGGGGCTTTGGGAAAGGAGCATGGTCTTGGGGGTGAGCAGGGTGGCTCGTGCCTCCTGCAAATACTGGAAACGCAGTACAGGGCCTCCTTCCAGCGTCGGTCATTAATTAATCTGGTAATTATGTGCTGTCAGCTCTAACGATAGGTGCACACCCTCGGCTGCGGGTGCAATGCTTTGCCTGCCAGCCTGGGGAGATGCTGGTGGCCTCATGGTGATGGGTAGCTCACCCTGGCGATCACCGACGTGTTTCTGCTGTGAGTTGTGTCTGCCATCAGCCCGAGCGTGGTCCTGGGGAGCCGGAGAGTGCTGTGCCTTTGGAGCCTCAGGGAAGGTCTTGCTCTGTGGGCGGGGGGTCTGGTAGGTGTGGTTGGACCAGGCATGGCCACATGTGTGGAGATGGGACATGGCCTTCAGCCTGCTGGGCTGGGCGGGGGGAGGCAGCGCAGCCCTTGTCCAGCCCTTCCTCCTGCCCATGGCTTTGCTCTGCTGTGGGTTGCAGTCTGGGTCCTTGGGACTGTTCTCCAGCCCCTCTGGGCTGGCTGAGCAGCAGCTCTGTCCAGGCTTTGCTTTGGTCCTGGATAACCCGTGTCTTCTCCCAACCAAAAGACACTACGGGCACAAACTGCCCCACTCCTGCATGTGCATATCAGCCCCTGCCCCCAACGCTTTGTCAGCTCCCCAAGAGGAGTTCTGCTTTGCGAGAAGCAAATCCCACCAGCTCCGCAGGCTGCCCCACTCCTGGGCTCGGCCGTGGACCAAACCCCCTCTTTCTAAGGGTCAAGCTGCCCTCTGTGCATCCAAGGAGCACGTTTTGCTTATGGGGCCAAAACCTCCTACTGCCTTGGTTGGTCCCTGCCGGTGGATGGCACCTCTGCTGTCCCTGCTCACCCCACGCTTCCAGCTGCCAAAGGATCCAAAAATTTCCCAGGAAGCCCGCTCCATCGCTCTGGCTCAGCTCCCGCATCCCCCATCTTGGTGCTTGGGGGCAAGCCGTGCCCTTTGCAGCTGTGGGGAAGGTCCCTGGTGCTGGCTGGTGGCATGGGCACCTCCTGTCCCCTTCTGGGCATCACCTGTCCCTTTCCAGCCATCCGTGAGCAGTTCGTGGCTTCAACCTGAAGCTGCTGGAGCATTGCGCCCTGTGCCGGCGTCTGGGGGAGCCAGGCCTGACGGGCAGTGTGGGACTGTGTAGGGGCTGGGGCCAGGGATGCGGTGGTGTTGGGGACAGGGGGAGGCGATGCCATACCTGCTCTAAATATAAGTGCTGGCATCGTCTATACTTCTAAATGCAGAAAGGTGTCTGACAATACACCGGGCTCTGAGTAACAGCCCACGGGGAGGGGAGGAGGCGGCTTTTTTGTGTCTGTGCCTGTTGGGTGGGAGGGAGGGAAGGATGCTCTCAAAGTGGGGGGCATGTTTCATGCAGATTTCAAGCTTTGGGCATTTTATTTTCCTCGGCCTCAGTTTGGGGCCGGCGATCCGTGCGCGGCAATGCTCAGCAGAGGTGGTACCGGCCAGGGCAGAGCCCCTCAGGGTGCACCCACACGTGGCAGTGGGCTGCAGCGTCCGAACCTGAGCTTTCTGGCATGTAAGACCTGTGTTTTACTAACGTACAGAAACTGTATGAAGCAAACCAGAGCCCTTTTTTTCCCGGGATTTGGGCAAAACTGGCCTGCTCCTGTCTCTCCTGCGATAGCTGCAGTCCTGCTCCCGCAGTGGGAGGGCAGGCAGGGACCCCCGGGGACAAGGTGGGCCCTCCAAAGCACCTCTCTGAAACCAAAAACAAACCCCAGGAGAATCACGGAAAAGACTATGCCGAGGGGGAAGGAAAAACAGCCCCAAGGCGCCATTGCAGCCTGCGTCTTGCTTTTCAAGGCGCTGGACTCACTTTGCTGCTGTATGATCTCTCATCCGTGGCTTTTTGGACATCTTCTTCACCTCCCGGACACCAGGGACCTGCCACTGCACTCGCTGTTGGTGGCTGCCGGCCGTGTTTGACCATGGGAGGGAGGATGAGAAAGGGGGAGGAAGTGTTTCAACCTCCGCCTGCACAGGACAAGCCCCTGCTCAGGCAGGAATTCACCAGTAGCATGCAACTGGTTCCCAGTTTTGTGCTGGGACTGGGCTCGAAGCCGTGCAAAGCTCCTGGGGGGACTGCAGAGGGTGTGTGGAGAGATGAGGCAGCCCTGGAGCATGGACCCCCACTGTCCCCTCCGGGCTGGCCCCCCCAGCCCCAT